GTATTCGAAAGCTTCCATGATCAAGTTATGGCTCAATATATAATTAATAAGTTAATATAATGAGTTAGTCATTTGCATAGATTGAAGAATCTCAGCTCAGCTAGAGTTCCAATAAGAAAATATGCTTTTACTTTGTCGGTTTGGTGAAGTGAACTGACAGTTAGGAAGACATTAAACTGGCGAATGGAACAGAAGGGCTTCAGGCAGTAATCTTGGTCGGTCTTACGCCGTAATACAAAGATGTTCATGTTTGACCCCCTGGAAATCTTTGTAATAACATGTATGCGATTGTGAAATGAAGCTCTCTTTTTTGTTTTTTTTGGGTGAAAAATCATAAATAATGACAAGAAAAAATTAATAAATTTAATATGATAAATAAAAGAATATACAGTGATATTTTAACTTAGTTTGTAAATTTTAAAAGATTAATAAAAATGTATAAAATAATAATTAAAAATATAGTAAATTTTAAGAGAAATATTATTAGAATTTAGAAATTAAAGTTTATGGATAAATATAAATTTTTTTCCCTTTACTAGCTCATTGGGCTCCAAAGCAGTGCCCAAAGTTTTGAAACCCGGTGAAGGTGGTGGGGTGATGAGTCTAAGTTAGATTATTTCTGTTTAAGAAACATATGAAGAGATTATTGGCTAGGAATTAGGATTAGTAATTGAATAAAATCATATAGAGATTTAGAAAATGGAAAAAAATAATAATAGAAACATTTTTACTTTTTGCTTATAACAATAAAACAAAAAAAAAATTCATAACCAAACACACCATTAAGTTGTACAACTGAAATTCTCTTATTAAAATCATAAAGATTAATTACAAATAAATTGAAACAATTTGACTACCAATATCAATGTTCAGAAATCAGAAACAAATAAAGAACATTTTGGTAGCAACCTTGCTCAAAACCTAAAGTAGAACTGTAAATTAACATAAACTGGTGAAAGTTACACCAGGACGAAAATTAAAATCTAATAACCGAAATGAGAAATAGAGTTCAACCTTCGAGTTACTGATCTAATATAGAAATAGGATAAACGAGGATGGGGCTCCTCACCTTGTGAACTGAGTCAGTCCATTCCAGGGATGCTGACAAAAGAGTAGAATTGTGCTTCAGTGGTGGCCCTTTCACCTCAACTGTAAAAGATTTCTTCTCGTTCACTTCATGAAACACTAGCGTGTCAGGGGAAACTTTGATCTTGAGACTCGTAGGCGCCTTCACGAATGCCTGGTAGGTAGAAGTTCCATTTCCTACATATGTGACAGTTCGATTGAAAACAGCTGAAACAACAGACACAAGGTCCTTCTGCATTACAAGCATGGATGGGTAGTTTAGATCATCTTGGCCTCCAAACTTGGGGATGCTTGAGCAATTACTATGTTCACCAATGACCATCCGTAGGCGT